AGAGAGATACAAAGTAACATTGTTTATAAACATTGATCAGAGGGAGAGAGATACAAAGTAACATTGTTTATAAACATTGATCAGAGGGAGAGAGATACAAAGTAACATTGATCAGAGGGAGAGAGAGAGAGAGATACAAAGTAACATTGTTTATAAACATTGCTCAGAGGAGATGAGATACACAGTCCTTCAGCTTCTGCTTCCACAGGACAGGTCCTCTTTATTACATGCATGGACTGAGACTATACCAGATAGCAAGGATAACTTGCTACAAACTTGTGGCGCTGTGAAATTGTAATTTTGTTAACTTGCTGCACATATTCCTGGCAGGTTGTAGACTTGCCGAACACTCGCAGCACAAGTTCTAGGCGACACTTTTTTAATTTGTAGCAAATTTGCTCGGCAAGTCTACAGCAAGAGCTCTGCAAGCTCGCTGGTCCGGAGACTTGCAATGCAGACTTGCTGTAATTGTGCAACAAAATTGTGAAGCTCGGCAAGTCTGCAATAGTTTAGCGAGTCATTCTCAAACTTGCAGCTCAATTACTTGCTATCTGGGATGACATCCGGGGCACGTGACCCATCAGGGGGAGTTCTGCAACCACATGGGCCATTGTCATCCTCTGCCACAAGGCGAGAAAAGGACAACGCTGCCAGGTTTGAGGGACTCGGGAACAGTTCCTGTATATCAGAGCCAGATTGTGCCTCCCAGATGGAACTAGAGGCCTCGGGGGTCCATCCATCTTCTCCATCGCTCCTGCAGCAGGGCATTGTTGGAATTCTGCTCCCAGCTCTGAGCCACAAAGGAGCTGTGTGGGGGTGGTTGCCATGACAACAAGGAAAGAGCGGACCCAGGACCAGCTCTCTGCGTGATCCCCCCAGCCAGCCATGATCAATGGGCGGAGCCATCTGTATAACCTGCAATTGGTATTGCCCCTCTGCTGATTTATAGATACAAGTAGAGGTGTGGCCACCAGGAACTGAGGGCGGAGCAAATCTGAGAGGATCCTGTCATTCCCATCATTTCTTTGTACAAGGTGAGTCCCTGACCCAGAACAAGCATGCAGCCAGTGAAGGACGGAGGACAATGACAGACTTCTGGCACAGGAACCCTCAAGAGCCTGCTCCAGCTCTGTAGGTCAGTCAATCACCTTGAGAAAGTGACTTCTCATTGACTGAAAGCCACAACCTAACTCATCAGTGATACACTGAGATACTGACAGAGTAAAATCGCTCCGCCCCTTCGGGACCCCAGACTCGCCATGGCTCCGCCCCTCCTGGGGTCCCCAGTCTCACCTCAGCTCCACCCCCTGGCGGACGGTGTCGAGCTCGATACTGTCCC